AGAATAAAATAGTGAACAAAGCCGTAGGAAATAAATAGTTCACTACGGCAGGGCAAGGCGAATCACAAACTCCTTTTGTACACGTAAGTTTGGTTTCACTTGAGAGATTGCTGCTGCATCTGTTTAACTTAGCAATCTACTATTTCTTTATCTACTGATTAGCTTAAAAGTCTTGTTTCAGTAGATAGTATGTCCTGAACCAACAATGTATTTACCTATGGCACTGTCATCTAGTCTTGCATTTCTCAATGACAAGCTTTCGATACATATTCAGAGTTTCATTTAGTAACGACACTCTCCGTACATCCAATGTACATGTTACTGCAGTTGCATTTTACTTAATACATACAATTGAAGGTCTGACATGTACATTAGTTTCTTTGAGCATTTTATTCGTGTTATAAACAAGTGATAATTTTGCAGCTAGATAAGTTATTGCGATTAGTTTGTAATCTCAGTTCATTGTCTTCAACTGGCAATCGTCCACATTTCCTATTTCTGTCAGTTTAAGATATAGCGTAGCCTACATACAGTGTGGTCGTTGAGTAACTCTTCTCATGTTCAACTTTATTGACTTCACTGGTCACAACTTCTTATTAGAACTTCACAAATCACTTCTCGAAGCTAGTAGATTATTGTTTGACTGGCAACACTTCATCAATGGTAAAAGATATTCAAAATGTTTTGATCTATCTTACACTCTACTCAAAAAGGAAATAGTATCCAGTAAATGTTTGGAATTTTTTAAAAGAAACAGATTTCCATAATTAAAAAGTTGAGTTTTTGAGTTACATTAGGATGGACAATGAATTAACATTTCTTTACTAAGTAATTACTATTTTTTAATTCATGTATGAAAACATTATGGTTAGCTAACAGATATACTGAACAACTCAAAAGTTAATACTATAATTTATTGATTCATATCTTCAGGTATGGAGAAAATGTTGGATATGAAAATAAAAAAAGGAACCGACAATTAAAACAATTTTGATCTGAAAAAAATTGAGAAAAGATCTGAACAAACATTCAGAAATTAGATCTAAAATTAAATGATGAGTAAAATTTGTTATGAAATAATATATATATTTAAAGTAGCGTCCATTGTGGACTCATATCATATGAAGAACCACTGAAAAGGAGAGAGAACTAGAAAACTCTTGCGTCTTAGTATCTGACTCTTCAGCAATACACATATGCAACTCCATAAGGGATCATATCCACAATTTCCAGGTTTCAAGACAAACCTGTTAGTCATTTAACCACTGGGTTCAAGCTAAATGGTCTATAGTTTCCTACTTCCGTCAATTCGTGATATATAGTGACTATTCACCAAAGTCTCAAGTCGGCCTCTACTTCACTATTAACACTTGTTGACCTCACATTTCACATCTTCTGGGCGATATTCAAAGGTGCAGTCAAAACCAACACCATAGCAGAATTGTAACCGGTAGCTTCCAGATTACTGTTCAAGCATTTTAAAAGCTTTTTCAAACAACTGAGCTGCTCTCTAGGCGTATATTGTATCACATAGCATCGATTAACTTAACGTAACCATTCTAACAAGAAAGCCTGGTACTCTGTCGAGCACATCGAAACATTTATGAATAAATCCAACAGTTTATGTTTTGTCATGGACTCCTCTTCACTGGCGTCATCATCAAGAGTTAAGACAGAGGGTAGATAGGCGTAAGTAGCACAGATATTAATCATATAAATGAATCCCTATTTAAGAAGTAATCAGCTATTTAACCTATTTTTTCACCTTAAATTAGGAATTTGATTTCATTATGGCTTAATAATAATCACAAGTGTTTAGTAATCTTGTTTTTGATTCCTACGAACTGGATGACGATCCAGATAACGATCAAGTCGAAAGTGTTGAGTGATAACCAGCGGCTGTTAACCAAACTTGCAATATGATCATCAAGGTAACTGGCACAGTAGTGTGATGTAGTATATTCTGATGTTAACTTACTCGTCAATGAGTATTGAAAATTGTAAAACAGAATATATAATGGTTGATAACCAATTTCATGTTATCCACTTTTAACTTCTGATCAAATTCTGTCGACCATTTTGTAATGTGGTAACCAAGCTAAACTGCTCAGCATCGCTGTGTCAATTGGTTGACGATAATCGGCTCGCTAGTTTGAATCTCGCAGGGGATATCAACTTCGTAGAGGTTGCAGATACATCTTACTGATAACTGCCTACAAACACGAAACTTAGTTCCAGGGCTTCCTGCAGATTCGCTCCAACTAACTAACATGATCATAGTATAGCATAAGTAGAATCGTCACAATCGAAATTCGGAATGTTATTCACTAATCGATTTTCAATCACTTCATTCTCTGGCGGTATGGCGTAACAGATTCCTTATAGTGGACATAGTCAAATGGAAGCTGCGAATTCGGCAACATTTTAGTGATATCTTGGACAGTGACACAAAAGAGTAGAGTTGTCGATTTGTGACAGGGCTTAAATTTGCACGAAGCTGCATGTCCAACCTTTACTGACTAAATGTCAACTATAGTGGCTTTTCCCAAAGACACTGTAGTATGTAGTTATTATAGACATCGATTTATCACCGGCTGTAAACAATTTAGCTGTCCATTACCTGACGCTCATCATTGATCCCAGTTTATCAAAAACGTCTGAAATGACTTCCACCAAGCTGAAGGACCAACTTTCAAATCTAACCACTTCTATATATATATTTCAATCCCCCCTACTCGTGTGGAGTCGGGTACGTTTATCATTCAACACGACTGTTATGCAAAGGGTTTCCGGAGCAATATCTCGTATGTTTGCAAAGAGATGATAGTAGATCGATATGAAGTCATACGACTGAACACATTGTAAATACGAGTTATCTTGTCTCAAGAATTCACTTACAAAGTGAAGAGAAACGTTCCAGTGTTCGCTGCATCACCGTAACGTTTGCATTCCACAAAAAAACAATAATTCAACCTCTTCTCCTTTCATGGTCTTAACTTCCAGCCTTTAAAATCATCTTTCTCTCTGCACTGTTCTTTTCTTACGTAATTTACTATCCATTCTTGTTTCAATGTTTTATCTGACCACACTCCAGTTTTATCTAAACTACTATTCCCTATAAAACTTCAGGTATACTCAGATTAATATTCAGTATTCATCTCAGTTTTAATTTTATTTCTGTTGCCTAGTTCGAAAAACCTCTATTATCTTCATGATGATTTTCATCATGGATTGATATCAGTTAGAGGAATATAGGAAACCTGGAACTCTGGAAAGCTGTTTCGTCCTAGCAGTGCCCGCCCATCACCCCACATAGCCACGGATTGAACCCAGGACCCTCAAATTCCGTGGTCAGCACGTTAAAGTTAAGTCACTGAGTCAGAATCTAATGATGCATATTTCCAACTTCTGTCAGTTCGTCACATATTGTGACCATCACCGAATCTCATCGCTAGGTGTTTTTCATCATGGTCACCATGTTGCCCCATCGGATACGAATTATTTCGAGAGGAGATTCCTGAAGTTCAAATAGGAAGTGGTGACCGACGATGAACATTTTCTGCAAGTTGATGTTATCGCCATGGACAGTTACTTGAAACCCTTTTAGCTGACATCTATACATCACATGTAGAACCTTTAGCTGGCGATATAATAAAACAAGTCCCATTGTACACGAGATGCGCTGATGACATCTTATTTATAAGTAACAAACATGAGGATGCAAAAAGTCTTCTAGATCGACTCAACATCATACAAAGTCACATTAGTTCATCATGTGAAGCAGAAAATAATAATCAGTTTACTTCTCTCGACGTGTGTTATTAACTAGAGGGGAAGATGGGTTGACAAAAGAATCAGTGTATGGAAAACCTACATGAACTGGACAGTAAATCAACTTCCATAATTTCTGTCTGATGCAGTACAAACGAAGTGTAGTAAAATGTTTATTCGAAAAAAACTCAACGTATCTACACAACAGGTATGTTGGAAGAAGAAATCAAATTCTTAACAGAGACACACATGCAAACATATGTCTTCTGAAGTTCACCAATCGTTTTGTAAGCGTCTGAATGGTACGAGCTAAATAGTATTGTATCCAGAATAAAGGGTTAACACTATGGTATAGTATAAGAGTAAATCAAACAGCATGATCTTAAGATGAGGGCATAATTCATTTATTGAAAGGATATACTTCGCAGCCTAGTTCAATATCATTGGGAAAATGAAATCTAGGCTTCAAAATGCAGCTGATCACCACATAAACGATTATGTCATATCCCGCTGTATATCCCAACTGAGATGTGTATGCGGTGACACATACACTGGGAGGAGTAATCGAACTATGAATTTGAGGATGGTGGTGCATATCACTAAATGGTTAGAAAAACAGTTACATTCAAATAATCCGTTAAGTACATAGAGCAGATAGACGTAATCCTCTATAGGTAAACACATTATAGAGACAAGCCACTGAATTGACCTAAAAACAGCCTTTTGACCATTTTATAGAAGCCGTCAAGACCGTATTCTCAGGTTCATTATAGCCTTAGCTATAAGAAAATTAGATCCCCGTTCATGTACTTAAAAACAATTCGTCCTTAACCTGAACCTACCTCGGTAATCGTCATGTCATTTTAATGACAAGGGAGGTGTGAAAATGTATTATTCCTCCTTATTATTCCTATATTTTCCAAATCTTTCACTTTCTTGTTTCAGTTCCCTTACTCAACCCTATGTTCATTGTTCATATAAAATACCTTGACAAGTAGATGTATGTGATAAGATTGTTCAAAATGTATTGCGCGAATACACCACACATTTCTCAGATAACCTCCGTCTTCTTATTACATTATGGAAATTCATCAAAGAGACTAATTGTTTCAAATTCTTGAAAATATATCCTTCGAATTCATGTCATCTTATTTTATATATATTACCTCCACTAGGAATAAATACACAAAAGAGTAGAAATCAGATGGTAAACCGGTTATGCCACTTACCAATATCTAAACTTTGTAAACGTAATTTTCTTACTCCAACGTCTTGATTACAGTCCATTTGATGCAAAATCCAAAACATATGTAATAATAATGTTGATATTATTTTTGGTGAATGTACATAGTAGTCTATTCCAAGTGCAAAAGTCATCTGTTGTCTAATCATCTGTACTTTTCATGTGTTTTCCTGTTCATTTGTTTATTTTCTATATACTGATTGAATCTTACCTCATTTTGATAGACCAGTAAATATGGGTAACAACAATACTGACAATAATCATTAGTATCATCGTCTTTTATTCTGATTGGTTGAAGGTTATTCTTAATCGCCTATTCGTGATAATCTCAAAAACTCTAAGCTGGCCTGTGATTGGTCAGTTTTAAGGTAAATTAAATTTCCTCACCATTTTGTTGTAAATTGAAAACAGCCTCTGAAATCAGACGTAGTTGTCTTTAGAGGAAATGATAAATAAGAAAGGAGAAGTACATTTTTCTAGTGTAAGCATTTGATAGTTAAAAATGGTTTGTCAAGCATGGCAACATAAATAGTGTCAATAAATGAGCTGTCATTAAAATCACAAAGCCAAAAGCTGATGAGTAGTGAATATTAATCAGAATAAGTTTGCAAAAGAAGTTTCGAGCGATTTTAAAGGCCACCCTAGTAACTAATGTAACAGCCAATCAAGTTTCTGTCTTCTACGAAAAATTGTCTTCCTAGCCAAAATACTTCAACCCTATTGGTTATTTTGGCAGTTGTTTGGATGGCCTTTAAAGTCACCCGAAGTTTTGTAATATGGTGACATAATTGGAAACCGAATTATAATCAAGCAGAGCGTAGCAAGAAGGATGAGTAGCAAATTACTTAGGAATTGAATAGTGTCAAAATAGAAAAAGAAACGTAAAAGATGAGGAGAGACAGGAGACTGAAAACTAGGAGCATGGAAAAAGAAATGGTTGAGCAATCTTCTTTTACGTAGACAGTTCTTGTTTCTCCACATGGATGCCAAGAGCTTCGGCGATGCAGAGAGTACGAAGACATACAGGCTTTGGAAGGTTTTGTTTCACTTTATTGATGACTTGGAACGAGGAGGTTCTTGAGATAGAGTGACTTGTGTTCACGATGTGTTGAATCATAGCACTCCTTATTGCACCATTGTTACCTCTTTGTACCGACGCAGGATGGTGCTATTGAGCTCTTTTGGATAACAGTTGCATCGGGCTGGCTCCGCATGAGCAGGTGAATTGATATATACACATAGAAGTGGTCAGATGTGAAAGTTTCTCTTTTGAGTTGTTAGAAATCATCGGGCTACAAGAGAATACTAGTATCAGCGTTGATACAAAGAATGTTTTCCTTAGAGCGTTTGGCATCCTCCTTTTTAGAGTGTTAGGGGTAGAATCACCTTTGTAGTTTAGATTTATGTAGTTTACATAGTTTTGAATATTTTTAGAACGTGATTGAAATCATACTGATGATCATAGATAATAAAAATATCATCCATGTACCTTTTGAACAGTTGAAAATGTTTAGTCGTTGATTTCAACGTTCCGTTCTCTAAACTGACAATAAGGCAGTATTCTGGTAGTGGATCCAGTGGGGATCTGATGGCGATTCCATTTTTTTGTCTATAAATCATATCCTTAAATGTGAAAAGAATGTTGAATATGCATCTAAGTAACAATCCCTTAAGATGGAGTGTTGGTATCCCAATATTTATGTTGTTATCTTCTGTGTATCTGCATAAGAATGAGAAATTTTCGTTGTGACATGGGGTGATGGTCGCGCTATGTCGTGAACTAACATAAGTTGGAAATATGGACCATTTGATTCCAATGATAACCTGTTGGCCACGGAGCCCGAAGGTCGCAGGTTCGATTCCTGACAAGGTCTTAGGTACAGACTGCTGAAGAGTCTGGTAGGGGTACGGAACATCTGTCCAGTCCTCCTGGGATCCTAATATTCATCCAACTGATATCAGTTCATGATGAAAACCAACTTAGTTGCACTACGTTTGACCAAATGACTGTGTGATGCTTATTGACATTTTGGAGGTGATAGATGTTCCTTTTGAAGTTTCGAAGCTTCTTATGATTACATTCAATCAACCTATCAGGGTTTTGAATCTATTGCCTAAACAGATGCTCAGTGAAATGCTTTATTTCGTGTGACGGTAGCTCACTAAGCTTAGAAAATTTTCTGTGGCTCTGTTGCTAGCATATAGAAGGTGATCTTTTCAGCAGCCTTGTTCGGAAGTTATTTTCTATGTGGCGATTATTCAACCAACATTCAAGGCAATCATGGTTAATTAATTAATTAATTAAACAGCAAATTCCAAGGTTTTTATCAAAACTGATTTCTAAATTGAGATGTTGGTTGGACCTACAACTTCGGTTCAATGCTGTTAAGTATCCTACCAGTCCAAATAATCAACAGAAAAACTCAAATACTTCAGTTTCCGGGTTCATGAGGATCATCTAATTTCCGAGAAGTATTCATAAGGAACCATTAAAAACCTTGGAGTATTGGTCAGCCATTTTGTCATAGTATGGGACTCCTCAGCAATGGGCATCCAAAACCGTAATAGATAATATAGCCCTCCCGGATTAGTTCGGCTACTACTTATGTTGGTGCTGTAAGCAAAATGTTTGCGAAACGAGAGGAAGAATGCAAAAGCTACTCATGTAGTGATATGCAACTGAAATATGGGTTCATTAATTGGTTACCTGAGATATCTGAAGGACTGGAAGCTTTTTGGATTGGACTCTTGAAACAGTAGGAAGTCTAATTAGGTGTTTTCTTCTTCCGATCGACGTGCTTAATAACACATTTGCGTTTAAATCTATGGTTTGGTTTTCTTACCTTGTAAATGTGAGTTGGAAGAAAACCTGAACCAGTGAACTGCTTTTTTAGGTTCTAGGTTATTCTTATTTAAACAGTGGAATACACTCACCTGATCATTATAAAAGACAGAGAAGGTAGTTTCAGAGAAGAAAGACTTTCTTTTCGGACAGAGTCGCTAACTAAGCTGTCCAACTCTTGAATGTGGTTCATCGGGGAGAATATTCCATAATTATTCTCAATCACACTGAATAACTAGCGAAAGTTACAAAATACAAATGATGGTTTAAAATGAGAAATCAAATAAGGGGTTATGAAAATAAATACCAAGATTTATCCAGAACGGTCAGGGTTTTACGATGACCATGGCAAGGACGAAGGCTATACGTATTTTCTTAAACATACAGTCCACGTCTGAACTTCTGGATAACTGCTGCTTCAGCTATTCTTGATCGCCTTGACATCATTTCCGTTGAGTGACCCCATCGAAATTAGCAGAGAATATTGAGAGAGTTCTGAAAAGGAGCGAGGTGACAAGGATCCTCAAGATGATCCTGTTTCGTATATAGAGCTTTCTGTGAGTTCATTAGTTATTTCTTTATTATATTATTATTATTTGTCCCATAGGTTCCTAGTGGAACATACGGCTTCAGTAGCACACCCCTATTCCACTCTCTTCTCTGCAATCTTTTCAGCTTGGCACCATGACTGCCCACAAGCTCTCGTTTCTTCCTCACACTATCTCCTCCATGTCACCCTCGCCTCGGACGACCGACTCATCGATTCCCTTCCATGTTCCACTCAAGTGCCTGGCCTAGTGCATGATGTCCCCGAATGGTCTTCTCAACATATGCCCACTCCATCTCCATTTCCTTCTGCATATTTGTTGGGTGATGAGTTCTTGGTTCGTCGTCAGCCAGCTAGCCAGAGTTCCTTGTTGCTAATTCTTATTATTCTGGCCATCTCCTTGATCTTCAGCATCGAGTGTAGGCTGCTGCTGTTGATGAATATCTGTAGTTTGTTGGAAGTGCTTTTCGTGACACGCCAAGTCTCTGAACCATATGGAAGCACTGACTTGACTGGATTGGTGTTGAAAATCCAGATCTTGTCCTTTATGCTGAGTGCCGAAGATCTCTTCACTGATTTCAGGTTAATGAACGCCTGTTTTGCTGTTTTCCTAATCCTGGCTTTGACGTCCTCGTGTGTGCATGTGCCGCCTGTAGTTGGAAGGATGCTGCCTAGGGAGGTAGGTGAAAGAGGCTACTTCCTTTAAGTTTCTCCGTTCATGGTGATTGGAGCTTGTTGTTGTTGGTGGTGGCGTTGGTTGTGTATCATCATCACCTCTGTCTTCTCTACGTTCACTTGAAGTCGCGTCTTCGCTACTCTCCCCTGTCTCTTCTGTCAACTTGTTAGTTTTGCCTGTAGATCTTCGTCTTTGTGCGACATTAGTCACAAGTCATCGACGAAATCCAAATCTTCTAGGCTGTTTTCATCGGTCCGGTGCATCCCCCTCTTCTCGCTCCTCACTGTTTGTTTCATGATCCAGTCCACTACAATCAGGAATATCATGGGTGATAGTAGACAGCCTTGTTTCACTCCTTTCTTCACTTCAAGAGTATCACTGAGCTTCCATTCTGAATTACTTGGCATGTGGCATCCTCATATACTTGTTGAATGAGGTTGATAAGGGTTTGTGATATTCCGTAGTGTTGAAGCAACTGCCTGGCAAATTACTTGTCGGTCGACGCTGTCGAAGGCCTTTTCAAATTCAACGGAGTTGAGATAGAGTTCAGTTGACTGCCATTCTATGCTCTGTTCTATGATGATGCATAGTGTGGCGTCGCAATTTGGTCCACACATGATTTGTTCTTCGTGAAGCCAGGTAGGCTGTTCGGGTTGTAGTTTTGAATCCAGCACATCCTTTAGTCCCTCCAGGACGATGTAGCTTAATATTTTGTGTGGGGTGGACGGCAGCACGCTTCCTCACCAGTTTTTGCAAATACCTAGGTCGCTCTTCTTCGAGGGTTTGACTAGATAGCCCTTCCAGTCAATGGTCAGGTACCTTTCCTTCCTTCCAGACCTTCTGCAATAGTGGTGTGAGCATATCCGCTGTTATCTGTGCAACTGTTCTCAGTGCTTCTGGCAGGATTACATCTAGTCAAGCTGCTTTCCGGCATTTCAGTAGCTTTATGATGCTCAGGACTTCCACTTTTGTTGGAGGATTTATGTTCACTTGTAGTTCTATGACTGGGCTGCAGGTGGTATTTCTGGACGAGTTGCAGGTGGTGGTCGATTCAAGAGCATTTTGAAGTGGTCAGTCCATCATTTACTTTGTTTCCCTTCCTTGGTAATTAGATTTCCTCCATCGAGTTTTATTGGTTCCATCTATGTTGATCTGTTGTCAGATAGTAACCTGGT